CCTGTATGTTATTAAAAAATTGTCAAGAATAAAAGTTTATGGAGCCGTATCTTCTGCGTCTTCTGGTTTAAGATTTTTTTTGGTCTCGTAAACGGTTTTTGAAAAATAATATTTTTTGTAGACCCTTGTACACAAGATTTTTTATTTTTTTAGAATACTTCCCGACCCCCAGCCTCCCCATTTTCAATAGGTTCCGTCACGGGACAAAGCTGCATATATGTGCCAAATATGAATGCTTCAAATTTAGGACACTTATCATGTTTCACAGCAATGTCCACAAAACAGTCGAAAATCGCGAAAAAAAGATGGATACCAGCATCGGATCAGGGCCATTCCTTATAAGTTTATGTTAAGTTAAGTTTATATGGAGGGTTAAAAAGGAGACAAATTTTAATGTTGTCCAACAGTTCGAAAGTTATTCAGGAAAAACCAAAAGACGAGAACGGAGAACGGACAGAAAAAAAAAATTATTTTTTTTCGACGGTGATCATTTCTGTACCAATGGCGATCCCATAGGACCTACCGTTACTGAGACATAAAAATTTTATACCAGCACATATACTTTCGAAAAGTCACAAGGTTTTGTAAAAAAGTACCGATTTTCAAGATGGCTGATCTTATTGAGGCCTTTTGGTCAAAGGTACAACCGGGGACTTTTAGTATATTAAAAAGAAGTATAGTAACTCCTTTTTCAGGTAGTCCCAGCTTTATAAAATTTGTTACACCTCCCCCATTACTCAAAACTTAGTTCTATTGTACTAAAAATCATTTAAGAGTAAATGCTTCCAATTATAGTCTAGATCTGTTTAATACGAGACATAGACATATACAAGCCCGGCCTATGTCGATAGTACAACAACCTGCGAAGCAACAATTATAAACTTTTTAAGAAGATCCATTCATACACGTTTGAGATTTAAAAATGACCTTGGGGCATTAAAAAAAACATAGCCGTTGACAAAAGCCTAGATCTCGTTAAATGTTAAATGTTCTAAAGGAACGAGTTGAGTTTTTGGAAATTTTGAAAGAAAATGGCACAAAGTGCAGGTTAGTGGTGCGTGGAAAATTATCAAAAACATCAGTACCGCCTATGTCGGATCAATTTTTCCAGTAGTAGGGACGCTATATTAGCTAATAGCTTTAAATTTCGATTTATAACTCGTCATTTTGCATCGAGTTTCATATGTTGACTCAAAATTTTAGCAGTAAAGTTAAACACTTACATCTTGGCAACGCCTGGAACCACAAAAACAGGAATTAAATCAGAAAGTTTTATATGGCCATTAGGTACATAACCACAAATTATTTAAAAATTATAAGTATTCATTGGGTTCAAAATCCTTTTCGATACCTTCCAATCAACATTGATTCCTACCGCTCTATAGATCCTCATCCATTGCCCTAACTCTGATCTCGCCCCTCTGTCCTTTTTAACAATCCCTTTTTTCTCCTCCCTGTAGGCATCCAGGGGTAAGTATGTGCTTAGGTAATCGTTGGTCTTCCATTCCTTGGACTTGCTCCTACAACATGCCCTCCAATTTTTTTATAAATTCTTGAAATAATTAATTTTCAAAAATGATGTATTGAAGTTTCCTCATTCTGTATAGAACTGGCAGATGGTATTTATGTCAACAGTCGGAATTTTTGCCAACAAAAAGTGAATGTCGCAGACATTTGTCAGACCAATACAATTTTACAGGCAAAATTAACAGAAATTTTCCAGATTTCCCAGAAGATCTCAAAGACATTCCAAATGACTTTGATAAGAACTTGATAAATGTGTTCCGAGATCTTTTGAACCCCCAAGCTAATATCCATTTTCAAAACTATACTAAACGAAATAATCACTCAATGCATGTTGTCCTTGTGACAAAATGAGTTACTGGAAGCTTCTATAAAATGAAAGAACAAATATAACCAAACATACCACAAATGGTGATGTTTGCAAGCAGATCAGCATTTTTTAAATTTAATTCTCCAACAATTTTAGAGAAAAAACTTAGACTTAGGTTTATTTTTAGATTTGAGTAAGGCGTTTGTTTGATTGGGAGGGATATGGTATTAGAGGTAAACATTCTATTAAATGAAATCATACGTTTACAACAGAAAGCAGTATTTCATTGTTTAAGATGAACGTACATTGATCACCACGTCATCACAAATTAAATTAAAGTAATAAATAAAACAAAAACTTTAAGAAATACGTTTGTGGTTTAGGCAAAACAAAAAACTAGTAAATATTAGTAAATCGAAAATGATTTTATTTTGAACAAAACAAAGTCAACTCACCTTGATTCCTAATTGTCTAGCTAGAAGAATAAAACAAATGCCGAGTTTATCGATATGTAAACTACTGAGTTTCTAGAAATAATATGGTAGTGCTTCTGAACTAAAGCTTTTGTAGAGAAAGCTTTAAGCAATTACAATTAATGACTGTGTATAAAATATATGTTTACCTTTGCCTAATATTTATAATATTTGAACCCAGGATACCACGCTACCTAATCACAGACTTTCGATAACTGAGAAAGTTCCTTATTATATTATAAGTTATTCCATTTACAATTTTATTTTTGTATAAGTAAATTGATATAATATAGAATATATATGTATATATATATATATATATATATATATATATATATATATATATATATATATATATATATATATATATATATATATATATATATACATATACGGATTTCTCAAGACTCCAACTATGTAGATAACTGCTGTGTCATCTGCGAAAGACAAGATCATGTCTTCGAGGGAGTTCTTTATCCAATCATTAACGAACAATACAAACAACAGTGGTCCCAATACCGTACAGTCCAGTTTTAACATGACGGGATTCACTAACCACATTATTAATTTTAACGCCTTAATATTGAGTTCTATGAATTTAAACTTTCCGAAATTACAGAAACTCTGAGACAAAGAATTTTGAACACATTTCTAAGCATTAACGGAAATACACGTGCTAGCGTTGTACGAAATACACTCACCAATTGCCAAAAATATCTCGATGCAAACTAACCAAAACTAAAGAGTACATTACATAACTTGTAAGTTCTTTTTAACACTCAGTGCGGTTTTATGTGCTTTCCAAAAATGCAAAAACTCGATATTGCGGACATGAGAAAAATATAAGTTGAGACAGGTTGTGAGATAACACAAGTCAATTGAAACATGTCATACTCTCTCTTAGTCGGCTTAGAAAAGTATCTGCATATTGTCATTGTTTGACAGTTGTCAATTTAATTGTTTTGGATTTACTGGTGAAAAACTAAATCCGCCGTTTACAGAGAAGCGAATCTGGGACATACATGTGGCAGACATTTGTGTCGATTGACATGTATTGTATATTGGAGATCAATAAAAACAATCTAAATCCATTCGGTAGTTTAATTTATGTTCATGCATAATGGTAAGTAGCATTTAAATATATAACCACCCCAATCAATCTATAACGTATTACGAAAGAGAAAAGAATATTTATAAAATCTGGTGCTGACCCAGAAATTACATTTGATACAGGGGATCTTGTCGATTGGTTCAGTTAGCTTGCAATTTTGGTTATGACAAAATGACAAAAACTGGAAGACCCGAGAAATTGAATATTTAGCTCATTACAATCATCACTTTTAGTCAGGAAGATGAGGCAAAAGATTAGATATTCATTCATTTATTTATAAACAATACTGAGGGGGCTTTTACTTGATGAAAATCCATTTATCAAAATAAATAAGAACTAAAGGTTCAGATTTTCACTAAATTATATATTTTACATGACAATTGTTTCGACAACACCGTGTTTTTATCAAATGTAATATTTACTAACTACCTGCTACTAGATATACCGAAAAATGACAATAAAACCTTAATTAATGTTGTGAGAATTTAAGCTCAATAAAGGAAAAGTATTTGTTAGCATCACCAGTCAACACTCGCGCTCCTGGCTGTTTGCAAAATGGGGAGCGCGAGTCTGGGCCGTAGTTCGGCAAGTGACCAGCAACGATCGGTGAGAGGTTCCACCGTCCACCCACAACGCTCGCTGAAGCCTGTCATCCACCGGGCATTCACTTGCTCCGCGTGTGCCTGGCATAAGCAGTTGTTTCTTGTATTTTGTTCTCGATTTACGTCAAATAAACCCCTTTTTACTGTTTAATTTTTGTGCAACCATTAGGTTAAACGCCCTACAGATTTATTATCTATCAGTATTTAAATCTAAATGTTAAGCAATACATTTCAATGTCCCATTTTGTTAATCTCCATGGCTTCGAAAAAATTGAATTTCCTACTTTTTGTGGCTGAATGTACAATATCAAAATTGTCGTCACAAAATTTATTTTTTTGTGTTTAAGTGCGTAGCATAATTAGAATCTAGACTATTGTTTTTAAACGCTATTTTATGTTCGTTAATGCTTTTCTTGAAGGATTTACCTGTTTGTCCAATATAAATTTTAGGACAAGATTCGCATTTATTATATTTGATAAAGACATGGTGTTGTCGAAACAATTGTCATGTAAAAATATATAATTCCGTGAAAATCTGAACTTTTAGTTCTTATTTATTTTAATATCCTAGGAGTTAAGTTGTTTTTATTTTTTAGAAATTTATTTGTTAACTATTTAGGAGTTACTTAGATTCTGGAATTGCATTGGAAATCTTTTCAGAAAAATGTTATATTTCACTATATTGAGATCCGCGTGATTTGTAAATATTTTCTAATGATTAGTGTGGATCTTGTTGAGGTGACGAAATAAAATTCACAATGGCAAAATGCCGAGATAATATATCTCCGACAAATCATTCCGGTCTTGCATAATGTGATTCTCAATCTAGTAAATTTTCTTACCTTTTTTTTACGAATTAAACCACATCAATTGCAAGATAACATTGTTAATGATTTCAAGTGGCCGCATCCTTTCGATAAGTATCTACATTATAAACACAGGTATCTAGGCCTACATATTGCGAACATTTTAATGAACCTTTTAAAGATTATCACGTCATGAGTCCCCTACAGGCCATTTTTATTGTTTGTTTAGCAGCCTCCCAAATCCAGGGTAATTTTTACACTAACAATAATCAACTATATCATCTATCCAGTTTCGACTTAGTGACAGTGAAATTACCTTCTTAAATATTAGGGGTTCCGCGCGGTTCCAAACCAGTGCCTAGAATCGTAGGAGGCGATGACGCCGACATTCAGGACTTTCCCTACCAGACAGCGCTGTTTCTAGACGGAGAGCTCGTGTGTCAAGGTTCCATAGTTGGGCCGAGTTGGGTGCTCACGGCCGGTCACTGCTTCTTCGAGTAAGTATCCACATTAATTTTATTTCCCTTAAATCTACTCTGGGGCATATTCAGCCGCAACGAAGCCACTAGACTCCAAGGCAGCTGGTCCGTGCGTGTAGGAAGCAGCCAACTCTCATCTGGAGGCCAGGTAGTGTCGGTCGCTGAAGTAAACTTATACGACCCGTTTGACTGGTTCTCGACAGACTTGGCGTTGCTTAAATTGGAAAGTTCTCTCGAGTACGGACCGTCTGTTCAAGCTGTTCGATTGCCCGAAAAAGGCCGAGAGTTGAAAAGCGACGAGCCGGCAATAGTAACCGGCTGGGGTTCCACCATCGTTTATCTAGAGCAGTCCGAGCAGCTTCAGAAAGTTGAACTCAACGTCGTTCTCACAGAGGACTGCAAAATAAGTTACGGAAGTAAGGATTTTATCTTGTTTTTAAAATCGGTCTTAAATTAGAATTTTAGAAGCTATAATTAGCGACACCACGTTCTGTGCCCAGTACGCCCCTGGAGGTAAAGGTATTTGTGCGTACGACAGCGGCGCGCCTTTGGTGGCCAACGGTACTCTCATAGGCGTCGGAGAGTTCACCTTGGAGTGCGGTAACTTCATCGGAATTCCCGGTGGTGCTTTTGCCAATGTCGCCCTTTATAGGGACTGGATAACTAGCGTTATCGGATTGTAGATGGAATAAAATCGCCCAAATCGATTCGATAGTTTTATTTAAAGCCAAAGATGACGTTTAGCAGCTTTGAAATATGTTTCTCTCATTGAATCTTAGATGTGCTGCGAAAGAGAAAGGCTTAGAACTCCGATGTAGTAATGGTGGGGAAATTACTTTGCAAAATGCTGCTTTTTTATATTGGAAGTAGTGGAGAAATCGGCAAAACAGAGAGGAAAAAAATAAGTAGTTGGTAATTAGTTGGAATTCCTCCTGAATTCCTTCGTGCACAAAACGTGAACAAAATTACTGTGAAATTGAATTTCGAATATTTTTTTGAAACTTTTTTTTTAATTCAATTTTATTGTAATAATTTCAATAAAATGAACGATGTGAATAAAATCCAAACAAAATAAACAGTTTTGAAATTTTCTGATTCTAAAGAGTTTGCCTTGGTCTATTTTACATGAATAAAGAAAATTGACTCCAAAAAAAGACTAATGATATTGTCCGATAAATACATTTAACAATTCTACTTGGCTTTTGATAATGTCATAAATTATTTCAAGTAGCAGAATTTTTGTGATAACAGTCAAGCGTCATAGATAGACAACTTAAATATAATAGCGCCATTACTATTTCCGACGAATACGTAAGTTCCATCCAGGTTGTCAAACTACCGGAAAGAAACCGAGAGTTGAAAAGCGCTGGCCGCGGTTTCACGACGGACTGTCCCTTTTAATTATCAGTTGCAGCAGGTAAATTTCAATGTTGTGCTCACCGAAGATTGGCAATATAGCTACGGAAGTGAGTTCGGTTGCTTATATTGAAGGTGATAATTTGCAATATCAAAAGCTTTAGTCAGCGATACAACATTATGTGCCTAGTACGCCCCTGGAAGCGCTTTTGATCGCCAAAGGGGAGTGGGAAAATTCACTTATTGGATAGCCAGTGTCACTGGGCTGTAGAACACATCAAATTCTGGAAAAAAAGATACAAAAAAATAAATATACAACTTCTTCACACTGTATCTCGAAAAACACGTTTATGTAAACTTAGTACCTATAAAGTACTAGACGAATTAAGTAACGAATTAAACCAACAGACTTAAAAGGATATACCAATTGTTTATTTGTTATTATATTTTCCAGCATCTGTAAAATAACTTTGAACACATGAACATTATATATTCTTGAAACAAATAACGAATTGAAAATTTTTTACTAACAAGTACATAAAAAAGTTGCTGAGATAACTTCTGTAATTGCTTCGTTCAGTTTGAGGGGTTTCGCATGCCAGGCAGAGACGACGAACTCGAATGTATATATATATATATATATATATATATATATATATATATATATATATATATATATATATATATATATATATATATATATATATATATATATATATATATATATCATTCAAACTATTTGTACATTTAAAAACTAATGGTTATTTTGCTACCGGTACTATCCAGGAAAATAGAACAAATAAATGTCTAATGAAAAATTGTTAATCCTATCTTTCAGCATATGAATCTGAATCAAATTTTTTTATTGTCCGTTAGCACGACAATTCAGTTGTAACTGTGGCAAGTAATGTTTCTAATGTAGATCCCGTCCAAAATGTAAAATGCTGTAATAGAAAAGAACTGAAAGGTCTAAATAGACCCCAACCTTATGTAATTGCCCAATACAATAGATATATGGGTGGGGTAGATTTACATGACAACGGAATTACAGGTGCCAGGTATTTGAAAAAAATGGTGGTGGCCTTTATTTTGTAAGTCACTGGATTGGTTAGTAGTGAATGCATGGAAATTGTATAATATTGTCAAAGAACAAAAGATTTCCCAGGTAGATTTTAAACCTTACATTCCTTTGCGACTTTTAAAAACTGATAAAACAATTACTCAAAGAAATCTTGCAGTTGCCACCTCACGATTGTTCATGCTTACAAAGCCCGAAGAGATGTAGAATCTGCCACAGCCACACAATTTACGTTTGTAAATAGTAATAAGTGTAATACTTCATGCTTCATACTTTACCATAAAATATTGTGTTTTTGTTTTGTATCAAATCAGGTTCTATTTGGAAAACAATCTACTTTTAGTTGTTTTCTGTCGAATTTGAACGTTCTTTTGTATGTTTAGGTATAAATTATATGTTGCATCTTATATGCCTCATAACATTATTAAATGTTTTTTCTCAGTGGTTCGTTTACTTATCAGTATCTTTCTGTATGTTTCGATGTTTTTTTTTGACACATGCAATATATTCTTAAGTGCAACAAGATAAATAATTTCAGAACAAAAAAGTATTTTTTTATTTTTTTTATGGTTGGGATAATATGGGTTAAATAAGAATATGTACCATCCATACAAACTTATAGTATTTCAAGGAGGCGCTTCTATATATGTGGTATACGAACAAGTTTAATGGAATGTTGCAGATCATATGTTGTGGCCCGGTGAGAGTAGATTTAACAATTATGGACAAGCACAGCACTTATTGCGCTGTGGAGAACCCTCATAAAGTAGGAAAGGGTCGTCTACAGTCTAGTCTAGTCACATTTATAAACATTAATGGAAATTGCCAAAAATGTCTCGATGCAAACTAACTCTTTCCAAAAGTCGAAAAACTCAATATAGCAGATATAAGAAAAATATAAGTGGAGGTTGCTAGATTACACAAGCCAATTGCGACATGTTATCTAAAGTTATGTTATCTTAGTGGGCTTAAAAAAGTGTATGAATAATGTCACATTTTAACATATGTCAATTTAACTGTTTTGGTTTTACTGGAGCCATTTTTAGCCAGTTACCCAACGCAGCTTAACCTTTGCAGTAGGTATAATAGGAGCGGAGATTCTGTATAGAGAAGCGAATTTGGGTATATTGTGTAGACATTGCATAAACAGTTTTAGCCGATTGTGATCTATAAAAATAATCTAAACCCATTTGGTAGTTTAATATGTGTTCATGCATAATGTTTAAATATGTTTAAAAATAGAGAGAAAGGAATAGATATAAAATCATCGGCTGATTCAGAAATTACATTTGAACCAAGGGATCTCGTCTATTGGTTCAGTAAGCTTGCAATTTTGGTTAGTTTTGGTTATGTAAAAACTGGAAGACCAGAGAAATTCAATATTTAGGCCATCACAAATGTTCACTTTTAGTTCGGTAGATAGGTAGGTTATTTATAAACAATATCTTGAAAATGAATCTGTTTTTATTTCTCAGAAAGTCATTTGTTAACTATTTAGGAATTACTTAGATTCTGGAATTGTATTTGAAACTTTTCAGAAAAATCTTATTTGTAAATATCCTCCAATCGTTAATTAAATTAAGGTGACGAAATAAAATCCACAATCCATAATATATCTCCGGCAAATCATTCCGGTCTCGGAAAATGTAGACTGTTTCAAGTGCTATTCCATTGATATTCAAATATTAAAGATCCCCTTCGCTCATCATCATCAGGTACTTGGGCGGCTTGATTGTTAGATTTTGATCTGCAATTGTTCAGTTGGTACAGCAAAAAAAGTATTTTTTTCTGAATCGAGTAAGATTATCTTATCTTCTTTTTACGAATTAAAAGGATTGAAGTGACTAAGGAAATTCGGAGCGATTGGGACGTCGTAATTTATTTATGACAAAAAATTGCAAGATAAAATTGTTAATGATTTCAAGTGACTACATCCTTTCGATAAGTATCTACAATATAAACACAGGCATCTTCGTCCATATATTACAAACATTTACCTGAACCTTTTTGAAGATTGTGAACCCCCATCTGGTAATTTTAATTGTTTGCTTAGCGGCCTTCCAAGTAAATTTTACACTAACAATAAGCAAACAGACTCGTTCCTATCCAGTTAATGACAATAAATTTCTTTCCTTTAATATTAGGGGTACTGCAGGGTTCCAAACCAGTGCCTAGAATTGTTGGAGGCGATGATGCCGGTATTCAGGACTTTCCCTACCAGGCAGCGCTGGTTCTAGACGGAGAGCTCGAGTGTCAAGGTTTCATAGTGGGACCTATCAGCCGGTCACTGCTTCTACGAATAAGTACCCACACCAATTGGATTTTCTTTAAGCCTACTCTGGGGAATTTGTGGTATTAAGGGCTCTAGCCTCCAAATTAGCTGGTCCGTGCGTGTAGGAAGCAGCCAATCTCCTAAATCGATTGGATAGTTTTATTTCGAGCAGTGGATGACGTATGATGATGCATTGCGAAAGAGAAAAGCTTTAAAGTGCAACTAGTATTGATGGGGAAATTAATTTTGCCTTGGAGAGATAGGCAAAACAGACGAGAAAAAGAATTACTTGGGTCCTCGGAAGTTTTGGCTAGTAGAGCTATAGACTACGCAATCTTTTTAATAATTAGTGATACTTTCTCTGGAATTTCTGCGTATTATACGCCGTAATTCCTCGGCTGTTAAACGCCGAGAACAAGTCTCTGAAGAAAATAGTCGCATAAACATAGTAAAGTATTTTGTTAAAATTAAAATTTGTTGTTAAGTCGGTGAATAGCCGATGTTTTTAAAATCCAAATAAAATAAATATTTTTCAAATTTAATTCAGAAAAATTTTCAAACCACCAAACTTGTTGGACGAATATTTTTTTAGAATCGGTTTCGTAATATTATAGATTGTTTCAAGTAGCATCACAGATAAACAACTTATATATTATCGCCATTAGCATTTGCGCTAAACACATTAAATTGGGGTCGCTCAATAGTCTGCCTCATGATTACCATCGCACTGATCATTTCAGTTGTTTGCTTGACCGCGTCATTAATTCGAGGTAAATAACCAATAGATATCTACACATTGTGACCTGCAGAGCACTAAACACGCGGCTCCGCTTCTTTTGTATGTGAAGTCTACCACATGGTTTCAAACCAGGGCCCAGAATCGTTTGCGGTGAGGGTGCCGACATCCAGGATTATCCCTACCAGGCAGCGGTGTTATTGGACGGTGAATACGCATGCCAAGCATCCATCACAAGCAGCAGTTGGGTTATCGGCGTCTCTCACTGCTTCTACGAGTAGGTGTCCCCACTACTGACTTCTTCTGATTTTAACTTCGGCCCATTCCCAGCATAGATGGCGTTCGCCTCCAAGGCAACTGGTCGGTTCGAGTAGGGAGCAGCCAACCATCGTTCGGAGGTCAGGTGCTGCAGCTGTCTGAAGTAAACTTCTTCGAGCCGTACCAGAAATTCCTCGACGACTTAGCACTGCTTAAATTAGAGAACCCTCTTAAGTACGGACCGTCAATCCAGGTCGTTAAACTACCGGAAAGAGACCGAGAGTTGAAAAGCGACGAACCGGCAGTGGCTACCGGCTGGGGTTGCACAGCGGATTATTCCTTTCATTTAGCGGACCAGTTGCAGCAGGTCACGTTTAGTATTGTGCTCAGTGAAGACTGCCAAAGTAGCTACGGAAGTGAGTTCGTTTGCTTAGATTTAAAATCGCTATTAATTTGGAATTTCAGAAGATTTGGTCAGCGACACGATGTTCTGCGCCCAGTCCGCAGGTAAAGGTCTCTGCTCCGACGACGGCGGCGCACCTTTGGTCTCCAACGGTACCCTGTTGGGAGTCGGAGAGTTCAGTTTGGCATGCGACCAGGTCGTCCGACTGCCTGGTGATGCTTTTGGCAACGTCGTCCTGTACAGAGACTGGATAGCAACCGTCAGCGGGTTGTAGATTAAATAAAATTTTTTAAACTGTTCCGGTGGGTTTATTTAATAGCGCACATATCACCACTGAAAAATCTACCATTTTTAGTCAGTTATTGAAGGCACCTTAAATTTTGCAGTAGGTACAATAGGAGCGGAAATCTCGGTATAGAGAAGCGAATTTGCGTATATCATGTAGACATACATGTGGCAGACATTTGTGTTTATTTACAGATATTGTATAGACGTTGCATAAACTGTTCTCGAGGATTGTAGATCAATAAAAATAATCTAAAACCATTGGGTAGTTTATTTTGAGTTTATTCATAATGTTGAATAACATCTCCGCTTCATACATATAAACATCTTAGAATAGCTATAAAATCTGGTGCCGATCCAGATGTTACATTTGAACCAAGGGATTTCGTCGATAGTTTTGTTTATGGAAAAACTGGAAGACCAGAGAAACTGAATATTTAGGTTATCACATATATTTACTTTTAGTCAGATAGATACCACAATAGATTCATTCAATTACTTATAAATAACGTCCTAGGAGTTGAATTTGTTTTTATTTATCCGAAAATTGTTAATTATTTAGTAGTTACTTAGATTCTGGAATTGTGTTGGAAACTTTTCAGAAAAAGGTTATATTTCACTTTTTTAACATCTACATAGTTTACAAATATTCTCCAATGATTAAAGTGGATCTCTTTGAGATGACGAAATAAAACCCACAATAGCAAAATGCAGAGATAATATATCTCCGACAAATCATTCCAGTCTTGGAAAATGTTATGTTAGAAGGTTTCAAGTGATATGCAAATATTAACGATCATAGTTTCAGTCTAGCTCTGAAGAAGCCAACAGAATGTTTGGTGAAAAGTTTGCTAGTTCGAGTCAACAAAAACCAACGCAAGAGGAATCCAGAAGTTTTATAAAATGTATTATCAATCCCCTTCGCTCATCATCATCAGTTGCTTGGTTAATTTGATTTAGATTTTCTTATCTTCCTTTTACGAATTGAAACGCATCAAGTGAGTATTGAAACGCGGAATGATTGAGACGTCATAATTTATTTATGATAAAAAATCACAAGATAAAATTGTTAATTATTTCAATTGGCTGGATCCTTCTGATAACTATCTACAATCAGGAATCTAGGTCTATATATTGCAAACATTTGCCTGAAACTTTTAAAGATTAACACGTCATGAGTCCCCTACAGGCCATTTTTATTGTTTGTTTAGCAGCCTCCCAAATCCAGGGTAATTTTTACACTAACAATAATCAACTATATCATCTATCCAGTTTCGACTTAGTGACAGTGAAATTACCTTCTTAAATATTAGGGGTTCCGCGCGGTTCCAAACCAGTGCCTAGAATCGTAGGAGGCGATGACGCCGACATTCAGGACTTTCCCTACCAGACAGCGCTGTTTCTAGACGAAGCGCTGGTATGTCAAGGTTCGATAGTTGGACCTAGTTGGGTGCTCACAGTAGGTCACTGCTTCTACGAGTAAGTATTCATACCAATTGGATTTTCTCTAAACCTATTCTGGGGCATTTGCAGCATCGGAGGAACTAGTCTCCAAGGCAGCTGGTCCGTGCGTGTAGGAAGCAGCCAACTGTCTTCTGGAGGTCAGGTAGTGCCGGTCACTGAAGTAAACTTATACCAACCGTTTGAGTGGTTCAATTCGGACTTGGCGTTAGTCAAATTGGAAAATCCTCTTGAGTACGGACCGTTCATTCAAGCCGTTCCATTAGCGGAGAAAGATAGAGTGTTGAAAAGCGAGGAGCCGGCAGTAGCAACGGGCTGGGGTTCCCTCATCATTCGTCAGGAGCCATCGGAGCAGTTGCAGCAAGTCGAACTCAACGTCGTTCTCACAGAGGATTGCAAAATAAGTTACGGAAGTAAGTACTTTTTCCCGTTTGTAAAACCAGTGTTAAATTAAAATTTTAGAAGCTTTCATTAGCGACACTACGTTCTGCGCCCAGTACGCCCCCGGAGGCAAAGGTATCTGTACCCTCGACAGCGGCGCACCTTTAGTCGCCAACGGAACTCTTATAGGCGTTGGAGAATTCAGTGTGGAATGTGGCAACGTCGTCGGATTGCCCGGAGGGGCCTTTGCCAATGTCGCCCTTTACAGGGACTGGATAGCAAGCGTTAGCGGGTTATAGTTGGAATAAAATCTTCTAAATTCTTTGGGTAGTTGTATATAAAATCTTCGATAACGCTAAAGGGCATCTCTTTTTGGAATATGTGTCTATATATTTCGTGACACGACTTTTATTTTTATATCGAACACAAGCAAACAATACATGTATAAGGGCAAAAATTGTAGATACGTACAATTATTTAGCATCTTCTGTCTGATGGTAGTGTTCATATACTCCCGCACAGAGTGGAAACAGTCCCTTCGTAGGATCTTTTTTACATATCTTTCAAATTTTGTATTATTCAGTGCCTTCACTTTTGATATTGCTTTATCATACAAACACAGATTTAACGATTTTTTTGTCATTCAACATATTTAAATTTCGTGTTGCGAAGGATAATCATGATAAATAATGTATGTAATAATACATACAGAACAGAAACAGAAAAGTGGTATGATTTTCAATCTTTTGCAGATAGAGTTATAATGTTCTAGGGAACCCGCACATGCTATTACTCTAACTAGCTTGAAGTTTAAAAGTCCGATCAGCTGCAGAAACGTTACCCCACATTACAATACCGTAGTTTAGAAAGTCAGCAACTCCTTTAGCCCAATACTGTGCACTGAGTCCGGATCGATCCGAAGACTCCAAATCTTGCCCATGTCAAAGCAGGGCACTCAGTGTGTAGATGATACGGGGTCTCCACCCCCCTTCCATGCACCACCTGCACTCCGGGTCGCCTCCAATGGGGGCTTGCTGTTATATCTATAGTAACAAAGTTGACGCAAAGCGTATGCATTTAATAACTCTACGGAGAGAGCAGAACCGAGTACAAACATTTTTTTGAGGAAAAATATAACTTTTAGCTGGAATCGCGAAATTATTAAATTTTGAGAAAACAAAAATTCTATCCGTTCAAATATTGAGTTTGTCAAGCACTCAGGTATGGAAGAAAAGAAAAGCGAGGAACATTTTGCGGATAGTAAACTAGGAAATATCAGAAAGATGAAAACCTTCCCCATAAGATTATCTGGTCGGCCAAAAGTATTGTGAAAAATAATGGAACTTTTGCCTGCGAAATGCTCATTATTGCGTAAAAGACAATCCTCGAGTACACCAAAATAAATAAGAACTAAAAGTTCAGATTTTCACGAAATTATATATTTTGACATCACAATTGTTTCGACAACACCGTGTCTTTATCAAATGTGAAAAGGAGAATGACATTCCCAGAATATAAGCAAAGATGGGGAACATAATTCTGGAAAATGGCATAACGTATTATGCTATGTTTCTTTTGTAATTAAAAAGTAAAATGAATAAGTGTGAACAATATACAGTCCATTTAATCAGTGAGGAGGCCATATGCTCCACAGAACCGTCAAAATGAACATAACAACTATTTTGTAGGGCTTAAAAAGTGCAAATTTGAATTGATCACACATCAAATTAAAAAAATCCACTTTCGTTGTTGCCGATGCCTAAGATTTGCGATGGCAAAGTCGGTCAGAAAATCAAGAGAGAAGGTACCTCAGTATATTACCTGCTTCCACTCCAATACTAAGAATGGCCGCGCGTCCATATCACTCGTACGTGTTTAAGTGCGGACACGTACGAGTGACATGGCGGCCTCTGAAGATGCCAAGTGATATTTTGGCGAAACGTCAGGCGAATGATCCTACTCCAGGGTCAAACAACGTACGGATGAACACCTGGATTACCACCAATATATATATATATATATATATATATATATATATATATATATATATATATATATATATATATATATATATATATATATATATATATATATATATATATATATATATATATAATATATATATATATATATATATATATATATATATATATATATATATATATATATATATATATATATATATATATATATATATATATATATATATATACAGGGTGCTTCAAAAAATGTATACACACTTTGAACTTCCATAGAAAATTTATTTACCGTTCTACAAAGTTAAATTTCAGGAAAATAGAAAGCTGAAAGTCCAATGTAAATGAAACATAAATAACAAATGTTAATACTGTTCAAATTGGTGACCTGCAGCATCAATACAATTCTGAGTACGAGTCACCACTGATCAAAACGTCCAATGAGATTTCTCTACACACTGCTTGAATCTCATTCCGAAGAATGTCTAGGTTACGTGATTTACGTTTGTACACCTCATCTTTTACTGTGCCCCACAACAAGAAATCCAGTAGTGTAAGGTCTGGAGAGCGTGCTGGATACTCGATTGGCCCCCTGCGTCCTATCCACCGGCCCGACAAATTTTGATCCAGGTAAGCTCGTACGTCCCTGTGATAGTGCGGCGGGGCACCATCTTGTTGAAAATAAAAATCGTCATTACCGTATAATGCACGAATGGCAGGAAATATGCAATCAGCAAGCATTGTTAGGTAATTAATACCAGTTACAGTGCCTTCAAATCGAAAAGGTCCAATGAGTCCCCTTGAAGACAAAACCGCACCACACATTTACACCAGGCAAATTTACAGCTTTTTCAATTGTAATGTGAGGATTTTCTTCACCCCAGTAAACACAATTGTGCCTATTGACAGTTCCATTAAGTTTGAATTGGGCTTCATCCGACCAAATGATGCTACCCATAAATCCCGGTTCACGTATCACCATCTCCTGAATCCATTCACAAAATTGCAACCTTCGATCTGGATCGTCGTCATTTAGCTGTTGCACCAGCCTTGGAATGTAAACACGATACTTGCCTCTCTTCAGAATGCGTAGCACGCTGCTAGCACTTACATCACTTTCACGTGCCCCTTGCCTTGAAGATTTGTTAGGAGAGCGTTGAAACAGTTCCAAGACTGCCGTTGATGACTCATCACTTGTAGCTGTTCGAGGCCGACCGGAATGACCTTTATGCACATCACACACTGTTCCATGAACTTCGAATTTGTCTCGTATGCGTGTAATTGTTAATCTTGAAGGTGGTTCTGTATCATACTCCCTTCTCCACTGTCTTTGAACTTTTTTTCTCAAACTTCCAGTACCACTTAATAACCTGCTTACGTTCTTCAAAACTCAAACGTACGTTCCCCATGTTGATATTACAAATTCCAACTGATAATATAACATAGAGGGACGACTATGCTGGCACCTGGCGAAGAAATATAACATTAGCCTTGTAGAGCGGGAAAACTACAATAGTTTAAAGTGTGTATACATTTTTTGAAGCACCCTGTATATATATATATATATATATATATATATATATATATATATATATATATATATATATATATATATATATATATATATATATATATATATATATATATATATATATATATACACAAAACGGTAGTCGTGACCGGCTAGTTGAACAACAAATTTTAGTTAAAAGGACCGATACCCCAATTAACTAAAATTTGTTATATATATATATATATATATATATATATATATATATATATATATATATATATATATATATATATATATATATATATATATATATATATATATATATATATATATATATATATATATATATATATATATATATATATATATATATATATATATATATATATATATATATATATATATGTTTTTTTTTTTCACGTATTGATTCACGGATGGAAAAATATGATGACACTATATTCCGGGATATCATCCGTTCGCTTGTTAAACTCCGACTTGAATCCTGCAGACGTTTCGCCAAAATCTCACTTGGCATCTTCAATGCTCGCGCTCCGAAAACACTTCGAACACTGCAGGATTCCAGTCGGAGTTCAACAAGCGAACGGATGATATCCCGGAATATAGTGTCATCACATTTTTCCATCCGTGAATCAATACGTAAATATATATATATATATATATATATATATATATATATATATATATATATATATATATATATATATATATATATATATAATGAGGTGCCCTAATAACCAATATTTTTTAAATGGAAATCTAAGCCCATTTTTTTACAACTTAATAATTGAAAATAAATACTATTATTAATTTCTTAAAGAAACTTCCACTAAACAACTTGCTGAGTCGAACTTATTGGTGCTCAATTAATTAATTACATTAGATACACAAGATATTCTAGTTATTTTCGACGAAGAATCTCTCTTTACCAAAGTTACTATTCTTGAAACTCCCAACATCTCTCTTAAATTAAAACATTAATTCAACCTCTTTCTCTGGTCTTCTCTCCAATAATTTCCACATTAAAAATATTAAGCGTTCGATCAAAAAATACCCTTCACCACAACCTTCCAATAGCAATGAGGCCGAAAGCAATCCTACACTTTCCACCGACATTCAAAATATCACTGATCACATATCAAAAGTTCTAAAGAAGTATAACGTCAAAACCAGATTTGCCACTTGTCCAAAATCTCTCGACATCTTTGGCCCGTCAAAGATAAAATTAAATTTGAGATGCCAGGAGTTTGCGGCGTATGCGGCAAAGAATACATTGGAGAAATCGGACGAAAAATATCAATTAGGCTCAAGGAAAACGAAAGAACCTTACGACTAATACAAATAAACTCATCAACTGTTGCTGAACACAATCACGAAACCGGACATAAAATTTTATTCGATAAAACTAAAATTCTTCCATGTAATCAATTCTCCTATCAACGAAAAATCCGAGATTCTATAGAAATGTATAAACAACCTGACAATCTTAACCGCGACTCTGGTTTTACCTGCCAACATGGGAGTCGGTCATCCGAGACGGTGTTTCTGTCCCTCATTTAGCGCCGCCTCCTCAAACAATATGTAAGCAAGTACAGAGTAAAATGCGAGCCAGTTTCAGTCAAGCTTGGAGAAGCCAACAAGATGATTGGCGAAATGCCAGCAATTTTGACCCAGCAAAAACCGACGCAGGAGCAATATAGAAGTTTTGTAAACAATAAATACTAATATCTAAATATTATTTTTTTAAATTGTTTTCTAAGTTCTTGACTTATTTGCAGATCAATAAATTATTGTACCGAATTAAGAAAAACTGTTAATTTAGAAATTAATATCATTTTCAATTATTTTCTTTTACGAGGCCAACCAACAACTGTGTTTTGTGTGTTTAATGTTGGTCTAAAATGGGCCGATGTTAGTTAGTTTTAATATTTAGGAGGAATAATTAGAGATTACTATTTTCGTTTTAATAAAAAAAGCATTTTTTAAATTTTTATAAAATTATAAAGAACACAGACAACTGCGGTGAGAGCGGCATTCGTTACTCAACAAAATTAACATTTTCGGATATTTCCCTGGAAGAAGAATCGATTACATTGATTAATTTTTAATTTGATAGAATGAGATTTCGGTTTCATTATTGTTTTCGGCAACTGCTTATGACTTTATTGGTCACAGTCGTATAATATTTTGTTCTGTTTCTCTGGTTAGTTTTGACATAGCTCTTTCAAATATATTGCAATTCGGGAATCTGGAATCAAACCTAGTCAACGGAATTGAAAAATGCTTGTCTGGAACAGGACCAGCTGTGAGATCTCCAGGATGGTTGGCGAAACGTCAGCAAGTTTTATCAACCACCGACGCAGGTAGAATGCAGAATATTTGTAAATAGCCTTACATTATTCTGTGAAAGTTTCCTTTAAAAAAAATCTTCAGAAATCTTTGCTAAACAAGTTTAATAAACGCCAAATTAGTTTATTTGGCACGAACGGAGCGAGCGCTTAATACATGAGTGAATGAAGAAGTTTACAAGGTGTTGCATACTATACGCGTGTCTTGACCATCAGAATTGACAAACCAAAGCCCTGGCTAATATATCACCGGAAATCTCCGAAGTGGCTCGCAGCCCTAGGTAACGTCTTTAAGCCACACTGAATAATAGGTATTTTAGAGCAGGAATTTGAATGGGGGAT